CGCCTGTACCACCTCCAACAACTGAAGAAGTTCGAGGTCTCTCCAGTGGTCCTTAGGACTTTCTATGCAGGTGCAGTGGAGAGCATCCTTACACAGAACACCACATCCTGGTATGGGAACAGCTGTGTTATGGACCAAAAAGCATTTCAGAGAGTGATTTGTATGGCAGAACGCTGCTGCAGGGCTGCTCTGCCCTCCCTACAGGACATCTACATCTACATCAACAATGCAAAGCACTGGAAATAGAAAAAAATGGTAATCAGAACTAAATACTATCATTATTGATAAAAAGTTGTATACCGTCTGCCATAAAGAAATTAATAGCCAATTATGGAAAGAATTTTACTGGAAACTAAAAATGAGGTATTTTAATATGCCTCTTATAATGTCTTCAGATGTGAAAGAACATAATGTCGAACTATGTTGGAGAAAAATGGGGATACAACTCACATCTTTTGGAAAAGCCCAGTCCCAAAAGATGTTCCAAATCCTTATCCAAGGATTCTGAATAAGATCCTACAAGTAAATTCCCCATTGGACCCACTGATTTTTCCCGTACGGCTCAGACTAGTGGTAAAATCTGCGGATACTCATAGTCTATACATCCTGATTCTAAGGAAAATGATAACTCTGAACCTGAAGAAAACAAAACCACCATCCATTACTCAATGGATGCAGACTGAAGAAGGTCTATACAACAGATCGAATGACTGTGAATCTGCAATTAAAGTGGATATTTTCCATCATATGCGTGCTTAACTGTGTCACATTGTACTTGGGTGATAGAAAGATATTGGTTATTGCAACAAAACTACTATTGTAATAGAATAGTAAAAGAAAAATGCTACGCACTGCCAGGGTTGATATGGTATTGTCATGAATTCCCCTTTTGGTATTTGTTTTTGAATGGATTTTTTTTCCTTTTCTTTATTTTTTAATCATTTGTATGTCAGTGAATGTTGTCTTTATGTGTTAAAAAGAAAATGAGAACTAAATAAAAAGTTAAAAAAAATAACATCCTGAATGTGTAATTATTCACCTCCGGTTGTAATTAAACTTAGAACCTGGTAAGGACCAGAAAATTGTTTTTTAATGTCCTGATAGGTAAAACCTGTATTTTTTTTAAAAAAGTAGGTACTGCATAAAGCAAACCCCTTACCCTCTTCATGGTGAATACTTTGGTTTTGATAGTCATCTGAAATAAAATGGAGATCATATAGGTCAAATGGTGGATATTGAGACTTTGTTAAGATAGTGTAGAGAGTGATTGTTAACTACTAACCTGCTCCGATAGTGCATGTCCAGATGGTGTCCTTTTCTTTCCTTTTCTTTTTTTCACATTCAAGTTTTAGTTTCAAGTTTCTGAAGTCACTTGTCAGATTTCTAATGACCACTTCAAAGAAATTATTGTTGCTCCACTCTAATGTGAACTGTCTTTTCTGCAGAGACAACATTTTGAAGAAATTTGAAGATTTCACTTGTTTTTATGTTAAGGTGCAATGAAAAGTCATATAACTTAGTTTATACATCTGGGCTGATTTCTGCTGTGTCTGAGTCTGTTGAGAGGTAGAAACTACTCTCCAGCTGTAGATGCTTTGTAGGACTTGGCTTTCTGATTTTTCTAAATCCATCAGATTTCTCTTCTTCCTCTACTCCCTGAAAGAAAGAAATCAGATTACTGCTGGCCTATAAGAAATGGTTAAAATATTTGGAAAATATGTTTATACAGAGATGAAAAATAAATAAATAAATATATAAATAAATAAATAAATAAATAAAGTGTTGCACTACTGGTAGACATTCTATGTAACTGAAGAGTTAAATGCCCTGTAAGCAAGGAAGGAAGAAAATGCTTTAATTATGATTTGTGCAAGAAAATATTAATTAGGAAATTCATTTACCAATTAATATTCACTTTCTTTTTTTTTTGACATGAGTAAGGTTAATCATTTTTGTACATGTAATGGTAAAAAAATTCTAAATACATAATTGTGAATAATTAAACCATTGATAAATACTTTGAATTGAAAAAAATGATTTTACAAGAAATAGAATAAAAATGTAATTTCAAAAACTATTTTCAAATTACAAATTTCATTTCATTTCATTTAATTACAAATTAAACAAGTTTTAAAAATCTTTTCAAAAAAGTAATTTAAAAAACTAAACAATACAGGCATTAAGCTGTGGGCTGTTTGCACCTGTAGCTCTGCACTGCTAACTGCTTGTACAAACAAAATTCAGACTCTGCCCAGCACACATACTGTATATGAAGGGAGTGAAATGGAGAACTGTACCTCAGAGAGTGTACCTTTGGACTTAGCTTGCCCACTTGTTGCAACACACTAGCATGGCTAAAGCTAGCATCACTACATGTAGCCCCTCTCTTTAAAACTCATGTTAGCTTGCGAAAATATTATGTCGCAGCAATATGAGGTAGCTATTGTTCTTTGCTCTTCACAAATAAAGTTCAATTTTAGCCCTTTGATAAAAGTCTCTGTATAAAAATGGCTATAAAACAACTTCCGGCGCCCCCCGTGTGCGGCAGCCTGTTACAGCAGCTCTGCTCATTCTGAGTTTCTTTCTTTCTTATCTTTTTTCTCGTAATTTTTTTTATAACTAACGTATTAGTAATTAGACTCTGCAACCATGTTCTACCGTTTTGTGCTAGTCCTGGTCGTTTTTCTCAGTTTATTTCTACTTTTTCCACCCGTGT